CTCAGAGATCCCCGGACATGTGAATTTCCCGGGTTAGTGGGGGGGGGCGGCAGCCGGCTCTGTGGAGCCCTCCCTCCCCTCCCCCGATTCAGAATGAAAAGTTTCCAAAATGTCGGAATTTCCTGCAGAACCGATATTGCAGTTTCCAACCAGCAACCTTATCCCAGGGCAATTTTAAAGTAAGTAATTGTTAAGCGCATACATCATCTTTGACCCGTGAACTTCGATGCCCTGTGAGCAGCTTACGAAGCACATCAAGCCATGAAGGGGATCAGAGGTGAGGGCAGGAAGGTCAGCTTTTTACTGCAGCTTTACTATACCAATAGCCACTCAAATATCTGCAGTTCATTCCATAAGGGTAGAGGAATCCAGTCCAGGTTTTCCACAGAGGAAAAGGGAAGCTTATATAGGAAACTGCCAGGGAATGAACCATGAGTTTTATCTACCAAGGGTTCCCAGTTCAGACAGATCCTGGACTGGATTTCAGTTTCCACTTGGAGTGGACTCTGGGTCACAGCACTTGGAGTACTCCTGACAGTTTTGAATCTTGGCATTAAGCCATGATGTTTCTGGATGGTTTTGCATGTGCCCTTCCCACTATGTGAAATCTCCGTCACTGGAGATATTTAAGAGCAGCTTAGACCGACATCTGTCAGGGATGGTCTAGATCCGGGGGTGGGGAACTCACAAATCCTCATCACCGCCCCTAACTGCGGAGAAAGACACTCCCCACGTTCTCCTTGCACACCAGAACCTGGAGGGGGGGGCAAGCTAGTAAATTTTGTGTGCTCCAGCCCCACAGATGGGCAGCGGGGGAGGAGGGGCTGAGGCATCTGTGTGGGAGCCCTGAGCCTCAAGAGCCAGATCCAGGCAAGCCGAGGGCTGCATCTGGCCCCTGAGCCTTAGATCCCCCACCCCTGTTCTATGATTCTGTTTCCCCTGGGTATTCCGTTCCCTACTCCACAGATTTCCCACAGAAAATACCTATGGGCCAAGCATGAGGCAGCCAATATAATCATAGACTCATAGGGCTGGAAGAGACCTCAGGAGTCATCAAGTCCAGCCCCCTGCCCAAAGCAGGACCAATCCCAACTCAATCAACCCAGCCAGGGCTTTGTCAAGCCGAGACTTAAAACCTCTAGAGATGGAGATTCCACCCCCTCCCTAGGGAACCCAGTCCAGTGCGTCACCACCCTCCTAGGGAAATAGTTTTTCCTAATCTCCAACCTAGACCTCCCCCACTGAAACTTGAGCCCATTGCTCCTTGTTCTGCCACCTGTCACTACTGAGAACAGCCTCTCTCCATCCTCTTTGGAAGTTGCAGGCTGCTATCAAATCTCCACTCACTCTTCTGCAGACTAAACAGACCCAAATCCCTCAGTCTCTTCTCATAGGTCTTGAGCTCCAACCCCCCTAATCATTTTGGTCGCCCTCCGCTGGACCCTCTCCAGTGCGTCCACATCCTTTCTATAGTGGGGGGCCAGAACTGGACAAAATACTCCAGATGTGGCCTCACCAGAGCCGAATAGAGGGGAATAATCACTTCTCTGGATCTGCTGGCGATGCTCCTCCTAATGCATCCTAATATGCTATTAGCCTTCTTGGCTACAAGGGCGCCCTGTTGACTCATATCCAGCTTCTCATTCACCGTAACCCCCAGGTCCTTTTCTGCAGAACTGCTACTTAGCCAGTTGGCAGATGACAGAACTAGGAGACAACTCAGCCTTACCCAAGGTAGCTGAGAAGATGGGCTCTCTCTCTCACATGAAGCTCTTGCAATAAGCAAACTGGAGTCGCTCCACAGTCAGCATCATTAAGTTTTTATTTCTGTGGCTTAAATCATTTCTTATCTCACAGTAACTTCCTGGGTTAGTGGCACATTTGGACACGAGTCATCTTGCACCATTTCAGAGTGTAAAGCCCCTCCCCACTCCCTCCTATCAACCCCCCACCCCCGCTGGGCTCCACTGCCTGTGATGTTATATGCTCTTCTGTGGCGAGTTTTTCTAGCACAAGGTGAATCTTCTTCCAAGTGGAACCGAACGTCTTCCGAAGCCCCTAAAAGCTACAGTGACATCTAGGCTGTGTGTGCGTGACGGCTCAGACACAGGGACGGGCTTCCACAGGGCTTCCAGGGCAACTTAGTCGTCCCCTCCGCAGATGGCCAGCAGCGCTTTGCAGTAATCGCCGGAGGTGTCCTTCTGCAAGAAGGGAACACACGCCCGAGGGAAATGAAAAGCCGGACTCCATCCGTGATTTCTCCCTCTGCAAATCAGTCTCACCCTCAAGGCAGGTTGGTGACAGTAGGGCTGGGAGTGGCGAGCCCTTAGCCCCACCCCTTCTGCTGAGGCCCCGCCCCTTACCTGCCCTCCCAGGGAGGCAGGGCAACATGCCGCATGCGCCCCTCCCAATCATGGGGAGGGGAAAGGAGGGGAGTGGGTGGGCAGGCACTCGCCCCCCCCTCCCCAGCACTGGGGGAGGGAGAAGGGCATGCCATGCGGCCCAGCCTCTCCAGCACTGGACCACCGGGGGAGGGAGAAGGGCATGCCATGCGGCCCAGCTTCTCCAGCACTGGGGGAGGGAGAGGACCTGCCAGGCAGCCCAGCCTCTTCTGCCCTGGACCACCGGGGGAGGGAGAAGGGCATGCCATGCGCCCAGCCTCTCCTGCCCTGGACCCATGCGTGGCCCCAGCCTCAGAGCATCGGGAGGGCAGGTACTGGGGGCAGCATCACTCTGCTCCCAGAATACCTACAGCAGGTGTTCTGGGGGCGGAGTGTGGGCGGGGCCATGCCAGGTGGTTGGGGGGGGCAAAGCCCTCCTCGGTCTTGGCTATCTGATGCCCATCCACCCTCCGGGAGAGAGGAGACTCTTGTGTCAACGTGAGGCGGGGGTCCCAGTCTGGCCCTTCATGCACTTTGCTCTCCTCCAGCCGAAGGCACGAGAGGAGTGATCAACACTACGGTGCCCAGACGTCTCTCTGTGCTCGGGCCACCCCAGCAGGATCTAGCAAGCAAGGAGTTAAACACCATCGCCCTCCAACTCAGGCAACCTCACCACGGCCACAGGCCGAGGGAACCCCAGCGCCTGCCTGGGGGTGCTGGTGAGCTCAGTAAACATCGCCGTCTCTGGGCAGCTAGCAGCACCTCCCCGGCTCAGCCAGCAGCATCTGCCTTTCCGAGCACCTTTCACACACTCCGTGCCCAGTCGCGGGCTGTGCGTGCAACGGAAGGAACGCCTCCTTGGCTACGCCTCACCTGGCTCCCTTTCTTCTGGGCACTTGCAATATCCAGGGCCGGACCGAGCCATTCCGGCGCCCCGGGCAGACGGTTTCATTGTGGCCCAGGTTGGGGGAGGGCACATGCGCGGCCCCGCCCCCCTGCAGGTATGTGGGGGAGGGCGGTGGCAGGACGCAC